GACCATCCATCTTCTGAAAACAGGAATATGTTCAATGAGTGACAGCTGTGTGCCAGGGAAGAAACATGATGCTTCATGGGATTGGTTATTGCTTCATGCTTCATGCTCAACTTGGCTCACACAGTAATGAATTGATTTCTTTGGGTTTGTTCATTTGTTTTTTTGTTTTTCTGGTTTTTTTTCCCCCTCTTTTGTATTTCAAACAAAGCAAACATCTTGGTCGATTTCTTTTCAAGCCTTTCTCAGTAAGTGTCTAAGCCTCAAAGTACTTGAGGCTTAATAATTTATAAAGGAAAGATGTTTGTTCAGGTTTGTGTTCCTGGGCTTTGGGAAGTCCATGGTTGGGCACCTGCATCTGCCTTACAATATGGTAGAAGTCAGAAGCCAAGTGTGTGCACTCGGGAGAGATGGGAGAGTAGGGACAGCCTTGCTTCTAACTACCAAGCATGGGGATAGCAAACACCGTGTTGAGAATTAACCCTATTCTCTAAGAAATCTGCTTACTAAGCAGGAGCAATCAATGAGTGACAGCAGTTAGACACCAAGAATAACAGAATGCTTATCAAGCCCCTTCTGTGAGTCAGGCATTGTGTCAACTTCCTCAGCTTCCAAGAAGGTAACTGTTCTCTATGTCTTTGAATACAAGTTAGGATTAGAGAACCTAGGAGATTGCTGTCTACTGGGGCTCTAATTTTGACCCTGGCAGGCCAGTGTCTGGAGGTTGTTCCTGATGCTTACAAGTTTAGCCTGATGGATTTCATAGAATTCAGCAAGGATGGAGGTCAGGGTTGGTCAACCCTCCTGGGACCATACAGCTGTATCTGTATTTAACCTTTTTCAGAGCTTTCTTTGGGGAGAGCAAGTATATCCCAACATCACGCCTGTGCTCAGGAACTTCTCAGTTGAACAGCCAGGTATTGGCTTTCCTCAGCTGCTACAGGTTCCCCAGTCTTCCAGCCTGATCTATTTGCAGTGGTCGGATGGTATTTGGATGGCTTCCTGAGAAATCCATGGTCACTTATTTTCTAACTGGCTCATTATTTCCTGCCAAGTGTGTAAGATCTGCTACCCATGGCTTACTGATCCTGGCAACATCTGTGCAGCCATTTGGCCTCACAATCTGAGTAAACAACCAGCTGCCCCAGATGATGATGCTAAATTACTGCGAGCAGAACTGCTGTGTCTCTGTTGTGGTGGATTGTGTCTCTATCTCCAGTCCTTTACCCATGGACCCCCTGTCTTACCTCAGGCGCTGCTTATCTTTGTTAAAGTTCGTTAGCCATTGTATATGCCCTTCCCCTCTCCCCCCCTTTGCTGAAAAGAAGATTATGTGGCCCTACCTTTGGCCTTATGATGTGGAGAAGAGGATGAGAGACCTGTACATATTTAGAATTCTGCTTCAGATCCCAGAGCCAAAGGGGCTGAAGTGTGAGCATCCAATCACCTCTCTTATCTCTTAATATTTATTTATTTATTTATTTATTTATTTATTTATTTATTTCCTGAGACAGAGTTTCTCTGTGTAGCCCGGGTTGTCCTGGAACTCACTCTGTAGACCAGGCTGGCCTCAAACTAAGGAATCCACCTGCCTCTGCCTTCCAAGTGCTGGGATTAAAGGCGTGCACCACCACTGCCCGGCTTTGTCTCTTAATTCTTAAGGGACTTGGGTGGCCTAGATCTGCCTGACACAGATACTGAGTCTTTGTTCTGCCTTTGTCCTACAGAAGTAGGGCATAAACTTTGGGTCCCAGCAGTTGTCCTTTGCAATGCCTACAGGACTTAAGCAGACCCATGGTTCGCTTGGCCATGTCAGATGTCAGGGAACAAACTAATGTCCTATTCTTGGGGTCAGTGGTGACAATGATATGACAAGGGAACCTGAGCAGCAGCATGCCAACCCTCTCCCTACCCTCCTCCTTCTGTTGGGTTACCCGAGGGACTTCTGAACAGGTCCCCTCAAAGTGGACAGATGAGTCCTGTCATCCTGTGTGCACATGTCTCTCATCCCTAGCTCAACTCTGTGGGGAGGGGTGGAATTTGTGACTCTACAAGTTCTACATGTTATGGTAAGATTGAGACTTTCTACTCTGCACCCTGAGGTGCTGAGCCCCCAGGATTCAAAGTATTCCTCTCCCCCACACTCTTCCTGATGCTCTTGGAAGAGACTTAGAAAGTTTAGCTTCCTAATTTTCATAGAACATCACTCCTTGTGTATGGTTAAAAACATCAATTACAAACACTCAGCAGTTTGACTGCCTTGGGAAGAGGTGCTTGTGGTTTTTTATTTTTATTTATTTATTTAGTTATTTACTTATTTATTTATTTCCTGGCAGGAGCTAGTATGGTGTCATTTCTGTGTCCTTGCCCCTCCCCTATTACCAAGGAGACAGAGAGTCAACTTAGGAGCCAACAACTCAGCCATACCGATTTTATTGTTCAGTGTTGGATAGCCTCCTTTAAATGTTGTCTCATTTGGTCCTGCTATTGCATATTGCTGCCACCTACCCATTCCACAGATGAGTAAACTAGGCCTGTGTATTTCCTGAAGACATATACCGATTTTCCTCCATGGCTAACTGTGAGGCAATAAGACTGGGGCCAATCTTTGGGGTTTTTATCCTATTAGGAGTCAACGAAGAAGTCTGAAGCATATCCTTAGGAAGCATTGGTAGTAGTAGCTCACATGTCTTAAGTGCTTTGAATTTTGCTAAGACTCTCACTTTATATAAAGAACACTGCTTAGAAATAAGAAAGAGACTCAGAGAGCTGAAGTTTTTGGTGAGGCATTGCCAGAGAAGGACTTGCAAATCGGTAGTGGTAGGCTGTTGCCCGAGTGGTCTGATAAGAGCCCACCAACATCCAGGAAGCTATGCGCCTGGCCTTTTAGGGTCACAGAGTGATCGCAGTGTGACAATCAGACTAGAAGCACTTTCCCGGTATAAATGGCAGTGATGTGTGGGTGGTCGCTTGCTGAGTGCAGAAGTGCTGGGGACAGATGGGCATCTTTCTGAGTCCACCACTAGTCAGCAGGACTTTTTGGGGAGGGGAATTCACCTGCATCTGCTGGGAACTGAACTCTGGGCACTGACTGGATTAAACCAGTACTTGTAGGTGTGTGTGTGTGGGGGGGGCGCTCACTCAGCCTTGCAAAGCTTTGGTACCAGCACACTCAGGAGAAGAGTGTGACAACTGGTAGGCCCCAGATGAGCAAATTTACGGCTAAGGTGTATCTGAACTACAGGGGGAATAATTCATCAGGAGGAATACATGCTACAAGCCATGTGCCCTCTGCTCCCAGCTCTGTGGCAAGGACAGTTGACCAGCTGCTCCTCGTGTAAAGGCAAATTCCCCACGGAAGCATCAAGTGGCTTTTATGCTGAGTCACTGCCAACTAAGCTCAATCTTGTTGGTGTCTTGACTGCCTATGCCCTGGGTGGTTTGCCCCGGGGGGGGGGGGGCGGCCAAGAAACAGGTCTACAGGGAAGGGTACATGGATATAATGTGGCTGTCTCTAGGTACCACACTGTAGTATCACTATCCCGGGAAGGGCAGGAGAAGGCATATGTGAGTCCACCAAGCCAGACACCTTGGCCTGCTTGGCACTTTGCTCATAGCTAAAGCAGTCCTCCCTTGGCTCATAGGACCGAGCACTTGAATGCCTCATTCTCTTCACTACTCTGTCTCTTCCGCCTACGTCCTGAAGCTGTTTCAATGATCACTGAGGATAAGAGTCTCCATAGAGACTGTTTTTTTGTTGCTGTTTCCTACACAGTTCACAATGCCTGCAATGAGTGGTAAACTTTGCTAACACTTAGGGTAAGTTCAGTCCATACAGCTTATGTATCCTACACCGCTTCACTGTGTAGTGAAGCTAGGCATAATGAGCTAGGCATGGGACATGAGGCTGTTAGCAGGATGCAGGTCAGTTTTTTATTCTTCAGTGCTTAAAATTCTTCTGATGAGATGAATGGAAATACCAGTGGGGAAGGGAACATGATTGGTGATGGGTGGTGACATGGCACTCAGTAAGACCCACTATCAGCTGTGGCCTTGTTGCCTGTGTGACTTAGGAACACAAAGAGATCAAAACAAGAATACAATGCCTAACATAAAACTGAGCACATAAGAATTGCTCACCAATAATTACATTTTTTTTTTTTTAAAAAGGGGGTTCTACAAAATTAGTAGGTAAAGACAACTGTTGCTCAGCCTGATGACCTGACTTTGATTTCCAGAACTTACATGGTGGTAGGAGAGATCTGACACCTGCAAGTTGTCTTCTGACCTCCACACAATGGTGTTCCCACATTTATATATGCTCAAATAAAAATGAAAAAGAGAGAGAAAAAAATTGGTCAATAAATTCCTATTTGTCCTGTGCTTCTCATTGTGATATTTTTTTGGTCCAAACTGAGTCTTGCTTGCTATGTGGCACAGGCTAGACACAATACATGGTGCAGGCTAGCCTCGAAGTCCTTCTAAGTTTTCTCCAAAGGATTACAGCTCTTACCTACCATATTTGGCCTAGCTTTGCCTTTCTTTTCTTTTCCTTTCCTTTCCTCTCCCACTCCCTCGCCCTCTCCTCCCTCTCCTCCC